CGTTGCGCGCCGTAACACTGTCCGGGTCGGAAATTGTCAAAGATATCCGGCGATATTTCGCGCGTCTCGCGAGTGGAAGGAAAAGTGGAGGGAACAGATAAAATTTCATTATCTTTTACGGAAAGGCAACGGCTGCAGTCGCGAGCGAGAAAAAGAGAGGGAGGGAAAGAAAGAGGAGAGAGAAAAGTGACTTGTCTAGTCTCGAATGGCCGATTCAATTACGCGCGCAGGAGTAAGGGCCGCCAGTGACGGTCGAGAGGATCGATCGCACGACGACGTGGAATCTCGCCTGCCGTCCCACGGTTACAGAGCACGGCCAGAAGGAGAGAGAGAGAGAGAGAGAGAGAGAGAGAGAGAGAGACAGAGAGAGCGAGAGAGAAAGAGAGTCGTCGGTTTCGCGAATAAGCGCATTAACGGCCGCGCTTTTATTGCTACTGCCGGGCGCTGCACATCCGCGCAGCGGCGCGTCCGAGCCGAGCGGAAGTGCGCTCGTTCTGGAGGCGCGTATTAACGTCTCCTCGCGGGGGTAAGCAGGCTAGATGGGTAGGATAGGTATAGAGGTAGGCAAGAAGAAGCGGCCGAAGAAGCCGCCGTTCCTCTCGTTAACGCACGCGCGCAGGCGTTTCCTCGCGAAACGCGTGACTTTATGAATGAAACCACTACGCTCGCGTAGCGAGCGAGCGAGCGAGAATGCGTGCGTGCGTGCGTGCGTGCGTGCGTGCGTGCGTGCGTGCGAGCGCGCTCGCGCGTGGTTTCTACGCGACGACGCCGCCGTCGACGACGACGACGACGACGACGACGACGACGAGGACCTCGGTAGTAGTACGTACGCGCGCATTTACTCCGTTCGTTATACGTAGGAAGGAAGTCACGGCGGCACAAGTATTGCGCGCGCCGACACGGAGCAGCTCGAGCGAACGCGACGGACAGTACTTGCGCGACAGGATGCCGCATTCAAGGAAGTGTAACTTGGTCCGCGCGAGCGCCGCCGCCGCCGCCATACCGTCCACCGGAGCGCTTTTAATCGCGCGATACATCGTGCATTATTCATCGTTTAATTAGATACCTTCGAATTCCTCGCGATTCCTAATGAGCACGCCGAGGTCAGTGGTGTGACGAGCGGTCTGGCGCATTTCTTCTTTATTATCCTTATTTAGGGTAAATCGGTGAGAGAGCGTCGGCGCTGGCGAGGAACGGAAACGCGTTCCTCGTCTCTAAATTAGCAACGAAATTTTTAATGAGCGTAATACGCGCCGCGAGTGAGAAAACTTTGTAACGCTCTGTACGGCGCATATGTGACTTTTGAGATCGGCCCGCACGATTTGCGCGTTCCAAAACCATCTTTCGAGTAGTCTCGATAATTAGAGGAAAGGCGGGATGGTTTCCGGGCAGGATTAGACCGCGACACCTAAGGCGAGACCCTTGAGTGTGACGGAGCGTCGGACGTTCGATGCGACGACTATTTTCGGGCGCGATTTATTCATCGATGTGGCATTTCTACTCCCATCCTCGCGACATTTCGCGCACGCCCGGCCATTATTTTAAGACGCTCTGCCCCGATAGTCTTGAAAGCGCTTCTCGATACGCCGAAGCCTAGATCCGACCTGCGTTTATTATTCATCGCGAACCGCGCCCGGCACATCGCGTCGCATCGAAACGACGCACGTTCCAACTCGTCCGAAAACAGTACCGGCCGAAGGCGACGGCGGCTAGGCCACGTCCTATCAAATTCTAGGCCGACGACTGGCGCGACTCTATTTCTAAATCCACTTCTATTCTCTATTTCCACGCGACGTCGTCGCCGCGACCAGTTTATACGTCTGCGATATTTCGAGGAGACGGGCCCGGCGCTGGTATACGAGACGCCGCGCGATGCAGATCAAGTTGAGACCTCGACTCGGGCTCTCCGCTTGTCGAAGTATTTAGCCAAAGTATCCCCGCGAGCATCGAGCGGCCGCGATAATAAATGAAAAGAAAAAGGGTGAGAGTGCTGGGGCTCTTCGCGAATCTTCCGCGACGAGACGACTGCTTTGACTGGTTCGACGGTTTCGTTTCTTTCGAGAATCCCGGGATGTCTCGAGTGCAACGTTTGCAACGCGCTGTCGTTTTTCCTATTGCACATCCTGAATTTCCTCGCTACGACGCGATCTCATCGAGGAAGATTAAATTGCTCGTTTGCGCTAATGCGCTTGATACCGTTTAATAGGCTGTTATGAGAACCGCCGAGTGCCGAGGGCAGAAATAATGCTATCTTGCCAACATGAATTCCTCGTCCAGTCGAATCCCTCGCGATACCCCGCTCTCGCCCCCCCTCCCTCCCGATCCCGAATATCCTTCGTTTCGTCTTCTCTTTCCGTTTCATCTGCAAACACAGTCGTCGGCCCTTTGATGCCCCTCAATCGAATTGCAACGACAATTTTCACGGAACAATTTTGTCCGAGTTGCTATTGTTTGTTATGCTCCTCGGTGTCGTAGGTGGAAAATGTGTATTCCCGGCTGAAAGCTCGGATGAATCTCTCTCGCTCATCAAAAGGATAATTAGCAGATTCGTTTTGACGACGAGAGAGCGATATCGCTATTGCTAGTCTTTGTACTTTAGGACGATACAAATGAATTACATTGACAGACTATTTGTATTACGACGAGCCGGGCTCGTCATGTTCGCCTAGAACGCGGTATATTGATCGATATGCATCTCGCATAATTTATTATTAAACAGTTCCCGCGCTTATCCCCCACTTTCTTGCAAAACATCAATTTACGGTTCAACTGTAGATACATCTCCTTTGGAATATGCATTATTCCGCCAGGTCAGCCGACGATCGATGCACCGTTAACCCCCGTCCGATATTAACTCTCATCTAGTTAGTCTGATCATGTTTCTGTCAAGCGGCCAAGACCGGCGAGAGAGGCGAGAGAGGCGCAAAAGCGGCAAGCGGCAATTTCACGAAAAACGGCCGCTTGAACGTGACGAAAAGGTGAATAATCAACTGGACAGAAATAAACGCGTGCGATGTTTGCGTAAGCATTCCGTAATGCTTAACCGTATTATATATGTAAATTACATTATACACTCGTAATCTCAGACTACTCGGCTCAGCCGGCTGAAAAGACGACTGACGGTAACTCGATATCGCGGATAGATTCGTCGCGAGGGGCTTTTCCGGCGGCCGAGCGTGGATTAGGCCCGACGACGACACATCGTTAACAAGCGGCGAACATTCGCGTTAAACGTTTCCGCGGCCGCGTAATCGCATTCGATCGAGCAATTAGCACTGCAGAGGCGACGGCGGCGGCGCGCGCGCGCGACTATTACATACCGGCACTCTCCACATGAACATCACGCGCGTATTCGTAAGAACGCCAATAACCGTGACAGACATAATCGCGCGTTATTGCGCGCGCCTACGTGTAAATACGCGCGATACACGAGCGAGCCGACGCACTCGTCGGAGATGGCCCGGAATCGCTCGTCGGCAGGTGCGAGGTATGGACGGTAGAATTTCACGCGAGCACACCGACACGACGTCGAGCATCTTCCGAGATCGACACGACGACTAACAGACAGGCGACGAAATGTCGAGACGTGCAATTCTCGACAACGATCTCCGGGATTTGACTTGCATCTGGAAATACTTTGTCTCTTTGATGCTGAATTTTTCTTTTTTTTTTTCTTCCTTTTTTTCTTTTCTCTTTCTTTTTTTCTTTTTCTTTTTCCTTTTCTTTTTTTCTTTTCTACAGAACGCCGTCCGGCAGGATCGCGCATGCTACGTTTTTGAAATTTTCACCGACCGCCTATGAATTATCCAAACCGGCGCGTACGCGCGTGAAATATTTTAAGCTCCTCCGAGGGAGAATCTTGAAATTTCCGCCGTCTCTTTCCGCGCTTCTCTCGTCGTATCTTCCACTTCCATCTGCCGTGGATCTTTGCACGGCTATTTGCCTATCGTTTCCGCACATTAGACGCGACAATGGCCGTGCGCATTTTTGAAATCGCCTCTTCATAATTCATGAGCTCACCGCGGCTCGCTCGGGCTGAAATCGCATTTCATTGACCCAGCGTTCCAGTTCTCTCTCTCTCTCTCTCTCTCTCTCTCTCTCTCTCTTTCTCTCGTACGTGCAACACGATGGCCGAACTTCCAAAAACACTCAAACTAAAACCCGATAGATCCATCGTCTTTGATCGGATCGACTCGATGTCGTCTCGTAAATTTCAATTCACTTACATTTACCATTGGTCCTTTTTTTGTTTCCTTTTCTTTTTACGAAAGATTAGATTTTGAATCCGGAAGTGGTACTGGTAATGATATCCCTCGTGTATGGCACGCATTTAAATGATCACGAAACCGACAAACGCCAACCCTAACCGCACGCTCAATGAAAGTTGCGCGCGAGAAAATACATTCGCGTCGGCGCAAAGTCCGCGCCGTTCCGCGAGCTGTCGTAAAATAAACGTTTTCTGTCCGTGTCACGACAACACGGCAACGTTCGCAGTCGGCGTTGCCGTCGCGAGCGTTCTCCTCGCGAGACACATGTTGCTCCGAGTGGAAACAGTAATGAAACATTTCATACCGTTCGACACGCGATTCCACGAATACTAGGCAAATATAGAGATATGGCCGTTGACAGCGCTCGATATTTTGCGAAATCACGGTTAACCGGGTCCTTACTTCACGAGCCGATACTTCTCTCACAATCGACCTGTCATCATTACTCAGTTCCGTAAATACGTCCGACCGCGGCCCAAAGTGTAAACTATCGAGTCAGCGGGGGGAATTTTCACGCGAGTAAACTCGCGCACGTCACGACGTCTCCTCGCGTCTCTCTCAGCCCCGTGTGATTTCCGTGTTTTCCGACCTCGTGCGTACCCCTTCCGTCGTGCGCCACCACGCACGTTTCGCAGCGACGTGTCGCGAAGGGGTGACCAAGGGGCGGCGGGGCTCGGGGTGAGAAAAAGTCGGAGCAGAGAGAAAAAGAAAGAGAGTGAGTGAGCGAGCAAGAGCGAGAGGGGGGGGGAGGGGTATGAAAAGAGGGAGAGGACAGAATGAGACGGAGTGAGAACCGCCGAATGAACGAGAGGGAGGGGAAGGATGGAACGTGCGAGCGAGAGAGAGGGGATTCGCGAGCGATCGGCTGCTCCACTCAGTCCTCGTCCGTCTGCCAGCCGGTTATCTACGGTGGAAATGGTTGACAGCTCGCGCGCCTTTTGCGACGGATCTGACGCGATCTTTCCGGTCAAGATGGTCCGCGATGGTCCTCCTCTCCGTCACCCACGCCTTCTCTCACGACGGGGTGATTCGGCGGGCCGTTGTCTCGGCGCTGTCGGCGTAAAAATCGAACGAACCCAACCTAACGCGGCCGGCTTCCGGATTCCGTGATAATTTAAATGTCCCGTTGTCGTAAGCGCGCGCGCGCGTGACCTTGCCGTCGTCTCTCGATGTTCGCGCGTAACGCGGGAGTTTGCGCCTCGCGACAGCGCAACACGACTACCATCGCCGTTCTCCGCTGTATCTGCATTTGGATTTCCCACGACGTGCCCGCCGATGTGACGATCATCTCCACGCCATGTGACGGCTGGGGAGCCACGAGGGGAAGAGACGAGGGGAGAAGGCGGAGGGGAGAAAGAGGCAACGCAGGAAATCGTCCCGACGACAGCAGCTGTCACGGAAGACACCGAGCGCGAGCAAAGGTACGTTATATCAATAGCACCTTATTAACGAGTGAAAAAATATCCGTCGCGAGAAATGACGTACGCGCACGACTCGCCCCGCCGGAATACCGTCATCCTGTCCTTTCCGTTACGTCGATTCGACGTCGCAGGAAATTGACGAATCAAGCAAGCGTGCGAAACGAGCGAGCGAGCGAGCTAGCTAGCTAGCTAGCTAGCAACAGTGCGCGTATATCTCGCGTGACTTTTTCCTCTGTAAATTATTCCTTGACGAAGCGAAACCGCTTAAGCTAAAAAATCAACGAGAGAGGGGCTGAAAAAAGAAAACGATTCCGTCCAAGTGAGTTTCCCCTCGTAAAAATCGCGCGAATGTGATTTATAACGCCGCTCGTTCTTATATCAAAAAGTTTGCAGTTACCACTCGCTATCGTCGATTAGAATGCGCGTTTTTTATATCAGCAAGTTAGATTTTTATGCAAAAGTCTCTGCTTGCACAGAAGTCGAGAACTTACCTCACTTTGCCTTATCTCGCCTTAGAACCGTGTCAAGCCGAGCGTTTCACGCTCGCACGTCGTGCAACGCGGATAAAAAGAAATGATTAATAAACGTGAGCGCCGTTGTACGAAAGAGAAGCGAGACAAGGTCGGTGGGAAAGCCTGAGGAATGCAGTTATCTGCTAATGCGCCAATTATATGCGGCGTTACCAATTACCAGCGTGAACAGCGTGGTATAGATCGACAATTGGATGACACGGCAGATGGACGGGCTTAAACTATGACCAACTAACTTCGCGCACAACTAGGTCCCTTCTTAACAGCGGCTGGTACAATGTACCGCCGACTGTGTTATTTATTATTAACAGCGCTACGCTCTCTCCGCTGTTTTCATTTCGCCGTGTCGAATCGTTCGTCACATTTCGCACCTAACATGATAATTTCAACGTTCTCGCATCCCGAGGCGTCCGATTCCATCGTCCTGCCATCCTGAAATTTTGCACTCAAAGTTAACGAGCACGATGATTTAAGGGCGTATTGAGAGCAGCAGCTTTTTTCTTGATTAAAAAGTATTAATGTTTTTCATGATTAAAAACCATCAATGTATTAAATGCGTCGTCTCTGTCGTATCGATCTTCTTACAAGGACGGAACTTTTTTCAGCATACGCGCGTTGCGTATGTAAAGCGCGCGCGCGCGTGCGGTATAAAACGAATTCCGCCTGAATTTTATTTTACGATTTACCCGGCCGACGCGAATTTGCGCGCGGCGATCCCCCGGACTCTCGGCGCGCTCGGCCATCCCATCGAGTCGTCGTTAGAATTTCAAAGGTATCGTCGATACCTGCGGATAAATGAAAGAGGAGCGTGTAGTCTGAAACGGGGAAGTCCAGCGAGCGCGACGAAAGACGGCTACGAGGGCGTACGCGGGGCGGCGGATACGCGGCGAACGTGCCTTTATTTAGACAGCCAGCCGTCGATCGAACAGTAGTTTTCGATGTTCCTCGAGCGAGGAGAATTAACAACTCGACATTCAAGCGTCCGTGAAGAACGAGCGATGAGATCGAAGAGGTGAACGTACTCGCGCGAAATTTACGTCGAGCTCTCTCGTGCGCGCATGTGTGCGCGCCGCGAGCCCGCGCGCTTACGCACGCAGGCACGCACGCACGCACGCACGCTCGTGAGTGAGCGAGCGAGTACGCGCGTGGGATCGTTTGATCTTCGCGAATGGCACGAGTAAATCCGCGTATTATTAAATAGATAACGGCCATAAATTCGGCCGAGTTACATAAAGGCGCAAAAGTGCGCGTTAAGGTCCGACCGTTCTATTTCTGTGCCGGCGACCGGAGCGTTCTAGGACAGCGGCTCTCAACCGCATTCCCCGCGGTCTCTCGCCGATAACGGAAGTCCGGTGTTGCTGCTGCTTCGCTGCTTCGTTGTTTTGGCGGCACGAGTGAGATGCACGAGAGGGTGTCGCGAAATCGCGGATTTTCGCGGAAGATCGGCGAGGATCAGAGCGGCACGATCGAGCGATTGGTATCGTTTAATTAATGCGCCAGTTTCTTTCGGAGTAATAATCGTTTTAATTTGTCGTTTACCGGGCTTAGCCGCTGAGTTTGATCCACCGGAATATGGCGTCCTTATCGCATCGAATTATCGCGCCGAGTGACTGTATGTGCGTTCACGCGACAAAGTTCGCTTCGTTACGTAAAATTGCAACATTATTACAATCGATACACACTGCGCCGCGTCGCTCGTAGGCTCGGCGGATGAATACAGCCCGCAAACGAGCGCGCGACTTTCTCACTCGCTTCTCGCTGGTTTTTCGTGAATTATCGCGCGGTGATAAGGAACGAGCGACGCTCTTAAAGCGCGTGACAATCCGCGCATCGTGCGTACGTAAAAGTCACAGGTCGTTTCCGTGGCTCGATAAGACGGCCCGATTAGAGAGCCGCTGAATGAGAAGGGTTGCGGAATAATACGCGCGTTCGCGGTTATCATGGCGCGGGCTGGTGGGTCTGTTTGCTTTTTATCAACGTTGGCCGCGATAATTTCTTCTCCAAATTGCGCGAGTGCCGCTTGAGTGACTACACACGTTTCTCCGCGCTCGCGCTCGCAGATACGATCGCTCGTTCCTCTCTCGCTTCTGACGTGACGCAGCAGATCGGTCGTCGATTTAATATCTCGCGGAAACGAATTGTTATTAGTACCGAATCTCCGAGTTGTGCAACGAGCGGACGAGCGGATGATTATTCGACACGTCGGGTCGGCGGACATTATTGCAGAATGAATTGCAATGGAATGTCTTTCATCGCGCTTTCCGACACACGCTCGAGCCGAATTATTATGTTTGATCTTGCAGCCTGGAAAGTCAGCCTGGCGAATGCCTGGTGAAATTGGTCTCGGTCTCAAATTGAAACCAATATCCGTCGATTGACGCCGAATGGTATCGATCACGCAGGTGAAAGCTTACGTGCGCTCTCGATAGTTCCCGACAGATCGCTCGCGCGGTTTATTCTGTTCTGCGACTGCAGGTTGCACGGACGCATTAGAGACGCACGCGTGGTCGGAAAGTGATTCGTGCGAAACTAGAGGAGGAGAAGGAGAGAGAGAGAGAGAGAGTGCGCGCGTGTGTGTCTGAGATTTGCCACTCAGGACGTAAAAATTTTTCCGCGGCGCCACATTATTGGCGGCCGTCCAAGCGAGGCGGTGGCCCCGTGCCTCGTCTATTTTCGTTGATCCCGATCCCCCCGAAAAGCCGAGCCTAGCGAAACGATTCGTCGTCCTCGATGCTACTTTGCTAATGACATTAACGACGCGCGTGAGCTGCAGGCGTGACTGCTACCGCGCTCTGAAATGACGACTACGTCCGTAGAGAATCAATGTTGCATTAAACGAGCATCGCGAGGAGAGAATAAAGAGACGATTTCCTGGGACGTATCGATCGCGACGCCAAGGATATCGCGATATCCCGTTGAGAGATACTTCGTAAAAATAGAACGTTTGGCGCATGTATTCGTCGGTTAGATGGACGGATTAAAGTATCCTAAAGTATTCCATCAAGCAGAACCGATCGCGCGCGCGGTGCGTGTTGCGTCCCACAAACCGAGGAATCTCTCCGTAAAGCGATCTGTATTTTCCTCTTGGTGTTTCTACGGAGAGTGACTCGATCAACTTTTCAACGCTGCGACTGCCGCCGATTGTGCAGCTCTACATTCTCGTTGCAATAATTGATACTCGTCTCGTCCTCGCTGCATCCTCGATCCGTTTCATAATCAGGCCTGAAATCGCCAATTTGGATTTACACGCGGCGCGGTGACTCAGGGATGAGAGGGAGGGGGGACAAAAGTACAAAAAAAGATTAAAGGAAGTATCTTGGTCGGGAAGGGCGCCGACAGGTCCGCAGCCAGTCTGAGAACCGATGTCCTTAATTCGCACGCGTGATTTAAGGGTCATTTTTCTTGCTCGCTCTTCGGTCCCTTCTTTTTCTTTCTACACCGCTATTTAATATTCCAATTGGCCTACACGGTAACTATTTCTATTTCTTTTTTCTACTTTTATTACATGGCTGTAAATATAGAAAGTGCAAACAATTCCGTGTAATTGTGAACACTCCGTTCCACGCGCACATTATAATCCCAAGTTAATTTTTGCAATTACCTCTGCCAGTTCCGCTTATTCCTCAGACATGAATTCTTTACGAATTACGTGTCATTTTATCGCGCTTCCTTGATTTCTCTGCAGACTCTACGGTAAATGAATTCTCTCATCTTCGCGCGCGCCTGTCTCGCTGCAATATTTTAACAGTAATTGCTCCCTGCAAGTAATTTTAGCTCAGCTATAATTGTAATTAATACCGTGTCTCCGAGGGGATTCGATCCCAAGGCAGAAGCAATCTTTATCCGCCTTTATCATTTGCTATCTTTTTCTCCCTCTCTCTTTCCTTTCTCTTTCTCGTTTCTTCGACGCCGCGCCGGCCCGATCGCTCGTTGCACGCACCGACACTTCTCTCTCCGCGGCACGTCGCATGCAACAGGTATCTGCACTGACGTCACGTCGTCAGGACGAAACGAGAGAGAGAGAGGGAGAGAGAGAGAGAGAGAGAGAGAGAGAGAGAGAGAGAGATACGCGGCGCGACGCGCCGCCGAGAAGGACAGAGGAGACGACGATTGCGGAGACGCACCGACGAAGCGGAGGAAGCGTGTACGCGCCGCGCGAGCATATGCATGCGTGTGAGGACGCGCTCGGAATCACATGCACGCACACGCGAGACTCTGCACATGACTTGGACGTCAGCCGCGGCCCTTTCTCTCGCCCCTCGTCCCGCGTGCACGTCGCTTTGTTGCTTGTCGAGGAGTCGAGCTTAACTCGAACCGAGTTGTGTCACCGCCGCGACGTTCTGTTACGACGCTGTTATTCAACGCGCGCTCGCGGAAATATGCGAGGGGACGACGATACGCCGACGAGTCGCGTCGCGAGCCGCGTCGGGTGTTTTTCTTTTTTTCTTTTTTTTTTTTTTTTTTTTTTTT